TTTAGAAAGGACATTTAAAAAAAAAGACAGATCTCATCTTCCTAGCACATAAATGACATGGCAACAGCGTTATTTTCAGCAATTGATTATTTTTGATACTGTTCAAGTGTTGAAAAATGACAAATAATTTTGTTATAAACTATGTTATGGCATGCAAATTGCTTTAATGCCAAAATTTCATTCTCAATAAATTCAGTAACTGTAATCATTAATAGATATCCAACTCATATTCAGCATGAGAATTTTCCAAGTCAAAGGCTTTCTAGGAGAAAAATCTGGTTTGACCTTCTGACTTCCAAGGAAGGGACACAAGACTCAGAGAGGTTAGGCAATGTCCCCAACAGTGCCTGAGTGGCTGGGAATCCAGCCCCAATTGGCTGAGGCTTCCTTCTCTTTGTCTCTATAGGAGCATCTGTAAGATAATGTCAAAGTGTAACCCAGTCTTACAAAAATGGGTGGTAGAGCTGGATTTGGTCCCCAGATTTTGCCAAGTACTTAGATTTTGCCAACCTCTGCTATTTGTAGTTACGTTCATTATAGGATTTTGGCACTGGGAGAAATTATCACTTTCTACCCCAAATCTTATTATAAAACAGTCTGAATTCAACTATCATCATTTAATACATGGGTATAAATACATTTGCTGTATTTTTCTATTTCTATTACATTAGCATGTTATAACTAAAGAACCAATATTTGCACATTATTATTATGTACAGTTCATACTTGGTTCAGATTTCTTAGTTTTTATCTACTGTCCTTCTTTTGTTCCAGTAAGGTACAATATTACATTTAGTTTGCCCTATTTTGCATTATTGAGAGGGAGGGAAAAGGAGAGAAACAGACAGATACCAGCATGCACATACACACATTCAGAAACAGAGAAAAAGAAACACGGATATCTCTCTTCCACTTTGAAGCCAATTAAGGCCAAAATCCTACAAATTAATGTTCTCATGTTCTCTAATATAAAAGAAAAGGGCATATGTTAATGAAGTAATACAGAGTTTTAATAATGAGAAATACATTGGGATAAGAAAAAGGTCAGGTTAAAAAGAATGTGACATTTGGAAAGATGTGGCAATGTGGTCCCTGATTGTAACATGGAATAATGAAATCTACAAAGCAAGAAATGGGGCAGAGTAGCATGAGAACTTAAAGTAGTAACAGGCAGTGCACATAAAACCATAGTTATATGGTGCAATTTGCCATCATTTACTTTAGGGAAGTTTGCATTTTTAAAACCCATAGAGATTCAGAGATAGTTTCCTTGCCAATATTTATGTAAAACATTTTCCAAACAAGACTGATTTATCTTACTCTGAAATGAATTGTTAGATCACAACAGAGAATGTTAAAGTGTTTGCATCCCTTATAGAAATGCCAAACATTTTACTCTGCCTGATGCTGTACTATAAATAGGGAGATTCATTCAAACGCTAAAAATGTTCAAGTTGCCAAACAGTTCTTTAGCATCTACTTCCCAGTACAAATGACTTGTTCTTCCAAAGTTTGAAACTGAAAGCTAGTTGCAATTTAGAGAAATGCTGTGGCTTACTTCAACTGATGGAGTGTGAAAGACACTTCGTTTATGTGTATTTCTTTTTGTTCAGATCATGTTCACTGAATTGCTTCTTTAGGCATTTACTAAAGCTTTGTTCAATAGGAGCTATTCAGATGAGAGTTAGGCCTTTAGCTAAACACAACTGGATCAGCTAAGGAACATGAGTATTGTTGGAAAATAATGATGCAGATTGAAATTAGTTCGAATTTTGTTAGCTCTGCTTGGATGTAATACTAGATATAAAATTTATTTATTTATTTTACATCTGGTTAAAAAAAAAAAAGAGGAATAGTAAAATCAGAATGAAACCTAACAAACTCACTCAACAAGATGATACAAATAAGACCCTGATATCCACGAGGAGATTAAAATGAAACTCGAAGAAATTTTAATGAATTAAGAAAAATAGGACTTCTTAGAAAGAAATCACCTTTTGTGGTCAAAAGAACAGTAAATGGAGGAAGTATCATTGATTTATGATTGGTATTTGAAAACAAGTATAGATCTCTCTATGTATCTTATAGAGAGAATATAAATAGTACAGAGATTTGTCTAAGATATTTAAAGCCAACATTACTTGAAGAAGTGGTGACTGGGACAGGAAACTACAGGAGGTGACAGAGTGAGGCAGGGCAAGGATGGCTCTGTGACATTTTCTTCCAGTCAACTTACTATCCCAGGGGTCTTCAATCTTCCTTCCACAACTGAACAGACCTCCCACTACCCAACTGTAGTCATGTATTCAAAAATGGCGAGATCCCCCTTAAATGGAATCCAAATAATTATCACAACATTTTTTTTCTTAGCGTTATTAAATGTGTTTTAATGCTACATATATTGATTTGCTAGATATTTTTTAATACTAGATATACTTTGATGTGCTTAGTTAGTATTTTGCAAGCCTCTGCAAAATAATAAAATATCTACTATTTTATAGTAAATTAGCATAATAGATGTATGATTTTATAATAATTTATAATATAATAATCATAATTATAATATTTTTATAATAATTTAATAGATGTAAGATTTTATAATATATAAGAAGTAACTTAAGTAAAATTATTTGATGTTAGGTAAATTACTATTAATTTTATTACCAAGTTAATTGAAATACAAACTTTATTATATTTTGAGGTTTTCCAACTCAAAGCTACTTATTTACTTTAAATTCATTTTTAAATGAAACATATGACTTGCAGACAATTTTTGAAATTGTGGCATTTTATTTTTGATTTGGGGAATAATTATGCAAGTTTAAAGCTGTATTTAATATGTCATAATATCAAAATAGATGTTATTTTTTATTAACTATTGTTTTGATACTTTGTATTTTGGACAAAGATAATCACCCCATAATAATTTTTGCATTTTATTATAAAAATGAGACAAGATGAAAAGTTCTAGGCTGTGGTTTTAGTGAAGCATTTCTCTGCAATTGATACAAACTGTGACTATGTTATCAGCTTGCCAGGGAGAGCCTAAGACAGATATGGAGACACATAGGTGGGCACACACACACACACACACACACACACACACACACACACACACACACATACACACTGTCCTCAGACACCTGGGGCTATGAGGCACCAGTATATTGTAAAGTTCCTGTACTCAGGGATTAATGCAGACACAGAACTTTAAGAAACAGAAACACCAGGCTCCATCATGTTTCTTTTTCTGCCCAGTTCCCACTCCAGGATTTGCATAGTGCTTTAAACCTCTGCTTTTGCAGTTTTGCCTTTACAGTTCTGGACGTCATGGGTGTGGCTCCCTCTCTCACCAGTCCTAGCAATGCACCTCTAACGGCATAATACATTTTTAATTGTTATTTTTCTTTTAAGGAGCACACACATGCTCCTATGAATCACCAGATAATGGGTATGAGTTAACAGTCATTGATAGCAACATGGATGTTAATGTACAAAGAGCAATGTGAAAGCAGTCTGGTGTGTTCACAGTATTTCTAAACTTGCATGATTTTAATTCTTGTTAATACAGTATTTAGATAGGCATACCACTCTCTTAAAGACCTTTCTCCTATAGTACACGCACAATGCAATGTGAAGAAAGGAATTGCTGAAAGGAAAACTATTTCCCCAAATTATGACTTGCATCTCAGTAATGAGAAGCTATTAAAATATACTTTAAAAAAATCCCTAAGCTGATCTATTCCTTAGCATTTTAAGATTTCCCACTGCTTTTCTATTTTCCCATTCTGTATGCACAGCACAGATTCCTGCCAGGCCTATTACAGTGAGCAAACAATGTCCTCTCTGTCAGAACAGAGAATGAATAGTGTCACAAAATTCTCCTCTAATGTACAGCCTACGTTCCCCTACCCATGCTTTTCAAAAGAGAATAACCGGGATGAGGGCTGAGGAGGAAAGCCGGACTCTCCCCTTGCCATCTGAAATTGCCTTCTAGAACACTAAGGAATAAAGCATGTCAACCATATATTAACTTCTAAACAGAGAGTTGACAAGCACATTTTCTTTTAAATTGGATCGTGTATTTTTGCATTTCTGTGTATATGGGTATGCAAACATCTTTATCAGGAAAGGAGGAGACATTTTATCAGATAAAGTTTTAGGGCTTAGCTCAAACAGCTTTTCGCCACAAACTGAGCAACAACAGGGGAAACTTCACAGAAACGACACAGCAATTTGTGTTAAAATATTGGCAGCTAATTCATGAATGCCGAAGCTATGAATTCAGCTGCTTTTGTTCAAGCCTTGATTCCTGCTTAGCTCATGATTCGTAAAGAACTTGCAGCGAGTCCTCTGAAACACAATATGATGCTGACAGATTCCTCTTTGGTATCAGTATCTGTCCATCTGTCTGTCTCTCTCTCTTACATACTCTCCCTTCCCATAAGAGACGTTAAGGATATGATCTTCTAAAAACAAGAAATTCATGAAGTGTTTCTTGTGAACCAATGAAATGGCATTTTCATAGAAAAACATGGGTTTCCTTAAACTCTACCTTATTTGTAAGTTTAGGTTGGTGTAAAATATGATGATTCAGGGTTTTCTGCCTTGTGTCATAAATACAGGATTTATTTTATTTAACCCTCTGGGAAATTACTTCATAAAGGTAGAAATGCTATTTTTATAAAAAAAAAAATCAAACCCCACTGCTTTTGTTTTTGTGAATATCTGCAACAGAAAAAAAGTCCAGCTTCCCCTTCCCTCACATTCCCACACATTTGCAGTCCAGCCCAATAAGCTTCCAGATTCTGATGGCATTCTCCTGGTAACACATTTAGCAGAGGCTGCAGGACACCCCAACAGCTCTGCTTTCTTCTCTCTCTCTCCTCTCACACCACCCTAGGTCTGTATTAGACTAAACAATTAAACCTTTGTGCTGTACAACTACAATCAGAAAATTCTAATGCCGTGTCCCTTATTGGTACAATGGTAATATTTACCTTGGAGCAATGTTTGTCCAAAAGAGTATTCCAAATTCTGGCAACACCTCCTTTTGAAGCCTTGTTATGGTGAGACTCTCTCTTCTTTCTTGGACTAAAACCAAAAAGAAAGTTAGAAAAAAAAAAAGGAAAATGGACACAGGCTGCGAAAGATCCTTGCCCTGTTCACTCTAAAAATATTGGCATATTTATGCCAAATATTGAGCTTTATATTCCTTCCTAACCAAAGCAAACACAATGTTTTAACTTCTCAACAGTCACAACTACAAATAGCAGTGAACGAATATAATACTTTCTCTATCATAACGGCCAAGTCAGTGTTTGATCAAATACAAATTAACTTACTTGCTCTTTCCATATTTTTCCAAGTTTATGACAAATAAATCTGTGTTTCTGTAGTAATATTAACACTGGAATAACTTATCTGAATTTGAGCTAAAAACAAGCGATTTCTTTGAAAAGAGCCATTTATGAAAGCTATCTATGGCAAGATAAGCTGTGATTCAGTTCTGGAAATTTCTTAATCAAGGGAGACTAGCAGGACCTGATGACGGCTGGTGGATCTAATCCCAGGTCATTCCTTCATTCTGCCTTAGAAATGGGGAAGACACAGAAATGGAGGAGACTGTCTTCCTCTGATTTTTCTGCTGCCAATCCTGTCTGTGGTTCTGCTCAACTGCTGCCCAACTCTTCCTCCATCCCTGATTCCCTCTCTGGTTCTCTTTCCATAAAGCATCTCGTGCATTGAACGTTCGTGTAAAGACACCACCTCAGAAGCCAGTGAGAGGGAGGAGGGGACGGGGAGGATGGAATGAATGAAGAAATAAATGTGCTCACACTCTAAGGAGAATATCCTGGCTGAGGACTAAGATCCAGACCCTCTCCATGACATTAGCAGACTGAGGCACAACTCCCGATTTTCAATATAAAACACTGTATAGAACATGAAGCTTTCAGATTTGCATCTACTGCTATATTATCACCTCAGACTGAATGCCACTTTCTTCCAGAGTCAGGAGATTATTTATATTATCTGAAGGTACATCTCTTGTTCCCCTGCCAGTTATCAAGAGGGAAACACTGCCTTGTTTGCCGTTGCGTTCAGCTACATTATTATTTTCTTATTTTTCAAAATAAATCTAAAAAGATCAGAACAACACACACAATCATGAGCTGTCTGCCTCCAACCCGACTGCAGGTCTTTCTACTGTCAATCACACAAGGTAGGAGGACAGGGCTTCACTGGGAGAGGTGCTTGACAGATCAGTGCACTCTGAAGCCATTGTTCTGTGTTTTCATTAGATTTCAAATCAAACCTCCTTCCAAACCCCCATCACTCAGGCTTATTGAGATGTGGATTCTAATTGTAAGCCTCTCCAGTTTTCTATGATAATGGTCAATCCCAGAGAAGTCTCTTGAATTAGTTAGCTGGGTAGTTTAAGTATCCAAATTAAATGATTGCAATTAAAAATAAATATTTTTTCTTAAAAATGACAGATTATATTAATATATATTAGAAATAACATATATTCATTATTTCAGTAGAGTTTTTCTATTACTCAATGTGAATAAAGAGCCAGATTTGAAAAACACAACTTGACAGTTAGTTTAATGATATAAAGGTGGAATGTAATTTGGCATTTTCAAAACAGACATTTCGTGAATTAAAAATGTTCCAAGGAAATGAGGTAACCAGGACAGTTATGGCACAATCATAAAGACAGACATACAGACCCATGGGACAGAGTTCAGCCTCCACAGAAATAATCCCACATATTCATAGTCCTTTAATTACATGGTGAGTTGATTTTTTTTCTTTTTTTTTTTTTTTTTTGGACAAAGGTCCTGAGACTGCTCAATGGGGAAAGAACTGTCACTTCAACAAATGCTTCTGGCAACTGAAGAGCCATATGCCAAAGAATAAAGTGGGGTCCTCAACTCAGACCACATAAAAAAGTTCACATAAAATGGAGAAAATACCTAAATGTGAGAAGTAAAACTACAAAACTCTTACAAGGAAACACAGAGGTAAATCTTCATGAGTTTAAATTTTGGCACGGAGCTTTAGATGTACCCCAAGGTACAAGCAATAAAAAAAAAAAGAGAGCTAAATTGGACTTCATCTAAATAAAAATAATTGTGCTTTTAAAAGTACTGTCTAGAGAATGAAAGACACACCAAGAATAAGAGAAAATATGTCCAAATCACCTGATATGGCACTTGATTAATACATCTAGAATACATAAAAATTCTTATAACTCAATTAAAAAAAAAACCAAAGAAAATGGGAAAATGGGCAAATAGATACTTCTCCAAAAAGGATATATAAATGACCAATAAGCACATGCAAAGAGCTGGGTGTGGTAATGCATGTCTGTATCCCAGCGACTTGGGTGGCAGAAGCAGGAGGAGCACAAGTCCAAGGACAGTGGCAGCAATATAGCAAAAACCCTTGGCAACTTGAAATAAAAGCACAATAAAAAGTAAAGGACTGAGGACATAGATCGGTGATAGAGTACCCCTGGGTTCAATCCCCAGTGACAAGAAAAAAGGAGGGGCATGCAAAGATGCTCAACATCATATCAAATAAATGCAAATTAAAGCCACAGGAGAATGAGAAATTATACAAAATGTATCAAAATGCATTCTACTGTTATGAATAACTAATTAGAACAAAAGTTTTAAAAGCCATAAGGAGATATCACTTCATATCTACACTCACTGACACAGGTAAAATAAAAATACCTAAGATAATAATGAGGGTCAGGGAGGCTATGGAGAAATCAGACCCTCACAGCCTGTTGCTAAGAGGATAAGATGATGCAGCCACTTTGAAAATTACCTAGCAGTTCTTCATCACTGTTAAGCATGGAGTTATCATTTGACTCAACAGTTCCAGTCCTAGGTATACACCAAGAGAAACTGCAAATTTACGAACACAAAGTCGTGTACATTGATGTTCATAGCAGCATTATCTAGATTAGCAGAAAACAGAAAACAACCCAATGTGAATGGATAAACAGAATTTATTATAATCACACAAAAGAATCTCATTCAGCCATTAAGTGGAATGAAGCGTGGACACATGGTATAGCATGGATGTATGGTGAACACAGAACACACAGCAAGGGAAAAAAACCTGTATATTATATGATCCTCTTTTATAAGAAATGTTCAAAATGGGCAAATACACAGAGATGAAAAGTGGATTAGTGGTTGCTTAAGGCTGGGGGCAACGGGGGGATAGAGAGATGATGACAGCCAAGGGGTGATGAAAATGTGCTAAAATTGATGATTGTACAACTCTATACTAAACTCTATTAAATTGCATACTTGAAATGGATGAATTGTAAAATATGTGAATTGTATCTCAATACAGCTCTTACCAAAAAAAAGAAAAAAAAATACAAGGGATGTGGACTTTATAAGATCAGTCATTTTCCAGATCAATTAGAGAAACATGGCAAACCCAAGTTTAATTCTAGCTGGACTTCTGGAGTTGTGGCACTGAAGCAGATCACCTATCTCCACTGAAAACTCTCATGTTCTGGCTGAGACCATCTGAATATAATTCTGCATGGACCAAATGTTCCTCCAGGTCCCCTGTAACCTGCCTGACTACCTCTACATGTGGATAGTAGTTCATCACTGCAAATGATTACTAATTCAATCAAGCAGAAACCCATGCATTCAATATTAATTTTTCTGTTGTGTGGAGTTTTACAAATCCTGGAACCAGCTATCTACTCAAATATGACTGATGCCCCCACCTACATATACTCAGTCAGAGGAACATCAAGTTCGACATCTATCCCATTGACAGCTTTTGTGAGGGCTGTTAGCAGGTTTTCATCCTTGATGGTGACATTCATAATAAGAACAAAACAAGGGCGTTCTGGGAGTTCACGATATGGTAACCCAACTAACCTAAAGGCCTGTTCTGACTAGAGCCACACAGAGGAAATGAAATAAAGTTTAATTTCTGGGCCACTGGGACCATGATGGATGAGATCTGCACCTGACAGATGGCCTAGTCTGAGCCTCGGCTGACATTGCTTCCATTCCCAGCTTAAATTTAACAGTGCTTCTCAGAGACAGGACTCCGGAGGATGGAGGCTGTCCTTAATTATAAAGGGAATCTGGCATAGACTGGCTTATGTTCTGTTTATTTCCATTGAAACATGAAAGATAGTGAGTACATGGATGACATTTGCATGTTGGAAACATTGTTGTGGGTGGTATGAGTGACCTAATCCTACTAGTCCCTTCTTTGTCTACAGGGACTTTGAGTACGGGTGGTTTTATTAGAGCAATATCCTTGAGTCTACTTTGATTTTTAAAAATTAATTCACTTAATCAGCAATTAAAGATATCTCCCAGGCACTGTGAATTATTCAGTGCTCAATATCCAGAAACATAGGAACAGAATGAGCTGATATACGGCACATCCAACTATGAAACTTGGGTGTCATTCCTGGGATACTAGCCCCTGAATTTAGACGGCAAAAATACCACCAGGAATGCAATGGTATTCATCTCTGTGGTCACGCTGAGACAATACCATTTCAGGTTGGAAGATTAAAATTCAACAAACATACTAGTAGTATGTTTATATTTTATTTTAAAATGTTGATGATAATATCAAAATGCAGTATTCTTTTGCTTGAGGTTTCTAACTTACAGTTATCATAGTAATTTTACTTGGTTAGCTTATACTAGAGTATAGAATACTGCTTTTGCCAATATTTTGCTTAGAAGAAATTCAGATAAAGAGGAATACGTTTCCCAAAATGTTTTAAATTCTAGTAGGCAAAAGGATGGACTATCATAACCCTCCTTCTAGCAACGAAGGTTGCTCTTTTACAGGGAATTCCGATAAAAGATAGAAGAAAATATGAAGTGAAGTTAGCCAATCCAAAAAAGTCAAATGCTGAATGTCTTCTCTGATATAAGGAGGCGGATTCATAGTGGGGTAGGGAGGGGGAGCATGGGAGGAACAGAGGAACTCTAGATAGAGCAGAGGGGTGAGGGGGAAGGGAGGGGCATGGGGATAGAAATGATGGTGGGATGTGATGGACATCATTTCCCAAAGTA